GGCGACATGGCAGTCTGCTGTCGCGCGCGCCCGTTCAAACGAGCGTGCGCGCGCGAGAGAGGGAGAGAGAGAGAGAGAGAGAGAGAGAGAGAGAGAGAGAGAGAGAGAGAGAGGTGGCGACATGGCAGTCTGCTGTCGCGCGCGCCCGTTCAAACACGCGCGCGCGCGCGCGAGAGAGAGAGAGAGAGAGAGAGAGAGAGAGAGAGAGAGAGAGAGAGAGAGAGAGGTCAACGGCGACGACGGCGCAGCGGAGCAGCCGGAGCTGGCGAAGCCGACGACAAGCGGCGCGGGGGATGCAGGACTGCGGCGCGCAGAGGCACTAAAATTGTGAACGCCCGTTCATTGGATTGAACGAGCGTTCATACGCGTTCGAACGCGCATTCAATTTCATTGAACGCGCGTTCGATTTGTGAACGTGGGCTGCGTGATCCGTTGGTGGCGCGGGGGGGGGGGGGGGGGGGGGGGGGGGGGGGGGGGGGGGGGGGGCGGTAGTGGCTGGCCGGGGCGTCGGTGTCTGCTTTGTGTTGGGCGTTCATGCCGCTGCGCGGGAAGGGAGCACGGTAGGCTGCGGGAATGTGTGGGACACACCTGTCGGGGACTTGTGTGGGGCTGGCATCTGCAGGAGTGTTTGACAAAGACAGCGGCGGACGACCACGATGGTGCAGACTCAGACACAGGCGTTCGAGGACGCAGGGGAGGATGAGAACCGCAAGGCACAGAAGAAGTGCTGCGTGTACAAGTATATCTGCGTGGAAAAGAATCTTGGCGAGAGGTTCCACGGGAATCGCATGTTGAAGTGTTTTTTTTGCGGCCACGAATTTCAGGGAAACCAATTCGTGGCGGGGCGCCATTTCTGGCAGGGTAAGGGATGTCCGAAGTTGACTGACGAGGCACTTGTCGACATACACTACAACACCGACTACAAGCTGGACGGGAAGATCCTTGAGCGGATGCGTCGGTTTGAGGAACTTCACAGTCCAGCACCTGCGATGGATCCGCGCCGGGATGAGGGAGGGTTGGGACAGGAGAGGGATGACGAGGACGTGATCGACGTGGACAACGTCGTGGAGGAGGTTGCACGGACGGGGCCGTCAGAGAGGGACTGAGGGAAGGGCGTTGTCTGTGAGCCGGGGGGGCAGCAAGGCCAATACTTTAAGGATGCGCACGTGTCGGCTCGCGTACAAGCACATGTGGGTGCGGACGAGGCGGGACCATCTACGGGGAAGAGGAAGGAGAGACAGGAGGGGGCGCGGCCGGGAGCGCAGAAGAGGCTTAGACAAAATACGATAAAGGAGTCGTATTGTTCACAATGGAAAACAGAGTTCAAGAAGAAGTGGCTGAGGTTTGTCTACAGTCAACGTCTAGCGTTCAACATCTTCTGGAGCGAGCCGTGGTTGGACGTCATCCGACACTTCAGGGAATTGCCTGGGCCAGTGAAGGTTTTGTGGCCTTCGGAGAACGAGATTGCGGACATATAGACAGTTGTCCGCACGGCGGACGATGTGGCGGCTGATCTCGCGGAGGTCAGGGCTCCTTTCCATGTCACGGGGGCCACCATCCTGTCGGAGGGCAGGAAGTCACGTGATGCTAAACCCATCGTTAACTTCCTTGTCGGCGGGTCGCGTGGGGTGATGCTGGTCCAGACAATGAACAGGGAGGGTGAGCGGGACCGGGCGGAGGATGTGCTGGCATGGTGGATCAAGGTGTTTGATGACTTCCCCCCCAAGTGGTTGAACGCCATCTGCATCGACTCTGCCTCGGCGTACGTCGCCGCAGCGAACATGTTCTAGGGGCCTTAGCAGAGGCCAGAGCATCGTCGGATCACCTGACTCCCATGTGCAGTGCATGTCTGCAACAAGATGTTGTGAGACATTGATTGCTCGAGGGTGTGGACCAGGGACAACATCGTGCGGGGAAGAGCGGTGGTGCGCTTCATTAAGGAGCACGGCGCCACTCTTTATATCTTCAAGAGGGAGAGCACGCAGATGGGTCTTATTTATCCGTGTGAGACACGTTTCGCACCCGTGTTTGCGATAATGGAGCGTTTGCTGGCGGTGAGGTCGGCATTGGAGAGGACGGTGGACAGCGATAGCTGGGGTATGGCCCCTTGGGACCGTTCCGTTCGTCAGTTGGCCAGGTGGGTCAAGTGACGGGTACGACATGGCCCTTGGTGGGATTCCATGACCATCCTGTTCCGTATTATGGAGCCTGTGTATGACCTGCTGCGCAGGTTGGACCGTGGAGGGCTGCACATGTCGCGAGTTGTTCAGTGGACGCAGGATGTGACCCGAGAGGTGGCGCAGGAGGTTTGCGTACTTCTGCCGGATTCTGCACACTTCATTGTGCAGAAGGTGCAGGCTCGGTGCGCTCACATGTTGGAGCCGGCACACCCCGCTGCTCACCTTCTCTGTCCCAGCCGGTGGGACTTGAGGTACTACGAGGGCGTAGTCAGCGACTACGACGCGAGTTTGGTGAGGGAGGCCAAGGTTTACATCTCGTCACAGACAGGGTTCGATGTGGTGAGCCCCGAGTACGAGACCGCATGTGCGCAGATGCGCGACTTTCACACACGCAGGGGGAGCATTGCGTGGGGGGGGAGGGACGGAGACAGAAAGGCACAGAGGTGCACCGACAATGTAGAGACATATGAGGCTGGGTGTTGGTGGTCGAAGTGGGGACAGTGCGCCCCGCAGTTGCAGGCTATCGCTCTTCGTGTCATGTACATGTGGACGTGCTCCTCTCGTGCGGAGAGGAATTGGGCCGTCCACGAGGGTGTACAGACGAAGAAGCGTAACCGGCTTGAGTTTGAGAAGGTTGCGAAGTTGGTTGAGATCTCAACCAACGTCCGCCTTCTCTCTCATCAGCGGGCAGGCCGCGGGTTTGCGCTGCCGTGGACTCTAGATGAGCCCTTGTTGGATGTGGAGGCAGGGATTGGGACTCGCCCCTCGTGGAAGGGGATGGACGACAGGAGGACGCAGGAGGAGCTGGAGTGTCAGAGACGTTCGTGGCAGCGGGACCCGTGTGGGTCGAGAGCTCCTCTGGGTGAGGTTGCAGATGTTTTCGGGACTCGAGCTGCCACATTGCGCCCGTACCCTAGAGATGACGACAACGATTACGAGGGTCGGGAGCAGGAGGACGAGCGGGCGGGCCCCACTACTGCGACTACTGCCACACAGGAGGTTGATGAGTGGAGCGACCCGGAGGACGTCCGTAGACGAAGTGGTGGGGATGACTTTTTCGTTGGAGTTGATTTGGAGGGAGAGGTGGGTTTAGGAGGTCGTTATGGGAGCCCTGTTGAGCGACAGAGGCCTACGTCACCTGTCCTACGGTCTGCCAAGCGAGAGGGAGTGCATGCGTCTGCACCTTCGAGGGGGGCAGAGTCGGGTTGTGGTGGCCCTGTCTTTGGCCAGCGACTTCATAGATTGGTGAAGGGCCCTAGACAACAATTAGAGGAAAGATTAGCGGGCGGTTCTTCACCGGTGCTGCGGGACGAGAGAGATAGAGAGGGGGCGATTGGTGGACATGGTGGTGCGTAGGCAGCAGACGGAGGTGGTGCCGAGGTTGCTGCGGCAGTTGGCGGGGACGCGCTTGGGGATTTTGGCGAGGAGTGGATGTCGACGGGTGGCGGCAAAGGTTTCAGTGAGTTTAGAAACTTGGGTATGCCTCCGGGGGACATCAGTGCCAGCATGCAGGCCGTATAAGGAGAGATCAGCGCCCTGCGCCCAGAGTCTTTCTCCCCTGCTATGCGCGCGGAGTTGATGTCGTCAGCACCGGAGGCAGAGGGAGATGAGGACCACACACCCCCTGGAGAGACATCTGCATAGAGGCTGGATAGGCTTGATAGTCGTCGAGCTTGCCTCATGGCATGAGCGGACCCCAGGACGCAGGAGTTGGCCCGTGTTGCGTTTGAAGAGCGATACAGAAAGCTGGGGACATTCGCGCCGGCGTCCGTTGAGCAGGGGTCGCACAAGACTGGGTTCGCACCCACAAAGGACCCACGTGTGGTGCCTGACCGGCCTTCTAACGACGAGCAGAGGCACGAGGACACTTTGCATGAGGGCGCGGGCGTGCCTCTGGCCACGGTTTTGGTTGCGGGTGTCGTGCACATGTCCCCGGGTCTGGAGGAGATACAGACGGGGTAGTCAATGGGCGTTGATTATGTTCGACCACTTGCACAGGCAGAGAGGATAGCATCGACCACTGGGGTGGAGGAGGACGTCGCGGGGGACGTTGATGTTATGGGGGCGGAGGCGCCAGTTCAGGCTGATCCGATAGCACCGACTACTGAGGTGGAGGAGGAC